CTCTGAACCGTTTTTGTCAAGTTACTGAACCAAAGTACAGTTAGCTGAACCGTTTGTCATTTCGACACTGAACCATTTCATTTAACACTTGGCCACTCATGTTTTATTGAATCAGTTCAACAAGGGTGGCTACACAGCTCCTCAATTGTATAAACCATTTTTTGTTTGAATATTTCATTTCACCAAATGCGACTTGTCCATTTGTATTTTAAATAAAACTCTTAAGATAAGATAATCGTTCTCCAAAAGACAATTAGACGCTATCTGTTATTACAAACCAATTCTATTTTTTTTTTTTTTGCGGTGACAGCTGTCCATATGTGGGCTCTTCTTTCAATTTCAGTTGGAGCATTTCCGGCTTCAAGCTTGCACAGACTTATGGGCCAAACAACTCTTTGTTTCATTTTCACAACGCGCCGTTGCGATTCTCCGTTCCATTTCGAGTCTTTCTTAGTACTCTCTCTGTCTTAGTGACTTTGAAACATTTTCATGACGGACTGAGGAAGGAAGGTCGTAAAATAGTCAAACGTGCCATCCATTTCCGCGACAGAGGTAAGAACGCATGGTTTTATCAGATTTTTGAGTGTAAGGTAAATACTTTTATTTTAAATGTTTTTAGTTGAGATTTCCTCCTTCAAATGTTCCTCATCTTTCCGAACTTTCGCTGATTTCCGACAATGAAAGACGCTCCTGCAGTTAAGTGACGACGATTGCCAACTTTACTTTATTCTGGCGTGTATTAATTGTATTGCAGCTTCGTGTTAGCTACAAGCTTGTTTGAACGAGTTACAGTTGTCGAATTCACAAAATTCGCAAGCAATGCCTGGCATTTACCTTGGAAAAATAAGTAATTCGGGAGAGTTACAAAGGATATCAAAATTATCGATTTGATTCAGTGCAAGCCCTTTTGATCGCAACACTTTTCAGTTTCGTTTACGTGTCATGCGGAGCATGTACACAATCGTGTTTGGCACTAGCTTTCATGTCGGGCTTACCGTATTTACCCGTGTATAATGCGCACTTTTTTTTCCATAAAAACAAGCATCAAAATCGCGGTGCGTATTATACACGGATTCTATTGTTTGTCAAGCACGTCCTAATTTGCATACGTTAAAAACGCAACAAAGAAAGTAAAAGTGCACGGATCGATGGCCTGGGGAGGAGAAAGAGCTTGCTTGTTTACAACTCATTTGAAGCTCACATGACAGATACTGTGAACACTTCCTTCAAACGCGAACTTCCCTTCTCCAGTCGCTCGATGTATCTTTGAACAAACCATTTAGAGATGGAGTCCGAAAGGAGTGGATGGCTGATGCAATTCACGAACTTACTGGACGACAAAAAAGGCTTCGGAGGAACTGATCTGTTCGTATATTTCACAAGCGTAGGAAGGCATTCCATCAGAAATGATCGCTGCCTCTCTCTGAAGTGTGGGATCACAAACAATTCGAATGGATCACAAGATGAATTGGTTTACAATTCAACTGAGATCACTGATGAACTTGAGGATTCAGTCATCGAAAACCTATTCGAATCGGACTGTGAGTCGGTTTAAAGACACTGAACATTTTACTTAAATCACGCAATTGCAATGCAGTAATTATATTCAAGCTACCAGCAGTACTGTGAGTAGAAATAATGTTTATGAACGGCTGTTATGATAATAATTCAAGTTGTGAATTTAGGTATATTAGTAAGGACTTCAAGTTACAACATTTATAAAACGTTGGACTGTTACTGAATAGAAAAGCTTGTAAATAGGTGCTCGGTGCGTTCGATATTTGTAGTAGCAACTAGTTAGAAATTGTTGTAAACATATTATTGATGAATTCCCAGCTCTTGTTAATTAAGTGAAAAAATGGAAGTTTTAATTCTTGGTATTTGTCATGAAATTTTTTTTTTTTAAAAAAAGAGGTCAAAAATTAGGGTGCGTATTATACACAGGCGCGCATTATACACGGGTAAATACGGTATGTACGTATCAACTTAATTTGCTCCCATATTTACGATGCATTTGATCAAAAAGCGATAAATATTTTCAGCGTATTTCATGCGTTTATGTTTATCATTTTATACTGTAGTTTGAAAGGGATTTTTCTTTTCGATAGACTGCTTAGATTGTCCTTTCAAACTGTAATGTTATACTGATTTCCTTGTTAAATATTAAGACTAGTTGGTTTTTCTTCAAAAGTCAGCCAGTGATTTACTGCAAGCGTCCTTTCAATTAACTGCATTCGAGTTTTATGAATCCATCTCATCAACTGGTAATGATTGATTGGTATCTGAGTAAAGTTTTACCTTTTGTCATCTGCTAATTAATATATGATCAATTAATAATCACATCAACTGAATGTTTCCGATCAATTTTTTTTAATCAAAACTGGTTTAGTTCTGCATGAGGCTGTATGCATCCAAGTGTGTGTTTGGTGATAATTTATGTTATTACATGGCAAGATAGTCATGGGGTAAATGTAAAGTTCTGATTGGTTCTTACTTGGTCAGGATTTTTCCACAAAGACCATCATCACACCTTACAGACAATCATAAAACATGTTAATTTAAAGTAAACTAGTTTAGTCCAAGTGACACTGGTGCATTACAATTACCTTGCTTTCTTAAGGGGTACTAGGGAATATTGGCACCATGTCATTCCTTTTCTGTTACAACCTTGGGCCAATATACCTCTGTAAAGCCCTGGCAATCAGCTGGTTATATAGAAGTTTGTAGTGGTTTTTGTAAAAGCGATATACACTTACAGGCTATTTTGAATTCCAGTTCAATTGACTTCCTTGCTACTCCACATTTATTGAATTTTTTTGTACATGAAGACAGCCAGCAAGGATTATTTGATATTTAAAAAACAACCAGTCATGATTATTAGGAGAATTAAAGTTAGCATCAAAGACAAATCAATTTTGTGCACAGACAAAAAATACAAAAAATATACATATACTTATAAAGCAAAAATGTCAGCACCTGTACCAAATTGAAATCCATTTCAACATACATCAGCATGCATAAACGTAAATATTTCACTGTATTTCCTGTGATAAAGTGAAACAGTTGAACTAACAATCACTTATACAAATATGGGCATCAGCTCAACTGTAGGAAATTGAATAAATGAAATACATCTTTTATAAGTTTTGACCAGTAATCCCTATTTAAAAATCAAATATGAAAATTTTACTTTGGTGCTGTAAAATTAGTTTCTTATGAGAAATGATTCAGCATAAACTCTCTCCTCTTGCGGAGACATGGTGGGCTTATGATTAGTGAGGTGGACACACGGTCAAGAGGTCTGGATTTGTAGCCTGGGCTGTGCTGGACTGAGGGTCAAGAGGTCTGGGTTCCAGTCAATGTATTGTGTTCTTGTGCAAAACACTTTACTCTTACAGTGTCTGTCTCCACCCAGGAGTATAAATGGGTGGCAAACATTAGTTAGGGAAACCTGATAAAATGCAAGGGGGTGAAAGGGGGAGATGACAGTGGAATGGACTTGCATCCTGTCCAGGGTTGGGTAGTAATACTCCCAGTTGCTTCATGTAAGGAAACCAGGATTAAGTAAAGCTCAGGGCCTGGACAGGCCACTTTTCAAATCCAGATGTGACCTAACTACCTACCACCTCTTAGTTTAAATGATTTAAATTGCTACTGTTACAAATTATATAAACTTGAAACACACAGATGTTGATTTTTGCCCAATTTATTTCAGTCAATTGCATAGGAATGTCATTGGTAAATCTTGAAATTTATTGTAACGAGAAGTGAATTACTGTTTATTTAAATATTAATGCTTGTTTTCTTCAGTATATATTAATCTTTTGTTCTTTTACTGCTTTAAATATGCTATTAATATTAATTGCTTGTGATTCTGTGTCTATGTATCCCTCCCTTTCTCAGGAGGGAAAAAATATTTAGTTTACAATTGGGTAATATGTTGAGCTAATTTTTTTACCATTTGCAACCATCTTTTTTTTCAGGCCAGGATGACTTAAAACAGCAACTTTTTGAAAGAAGCATCCCCTTACAGTTGCTATGGCTAAAGAAAGAAGTCCAATTAAGGTTCCATCTGAAAATGAAGACTTACCTGACAAAGAAAATGCTCCAGATTTTGATGAGGACACTTTACGAGGTGAGCTAGGTTCAACTTTGGCTTCAGTCACTGTTAAAACGTTTTCTATTCCACCAGTTTCAAGAATGTAAGCAGATGTGGAGAATGATATTAATACATTGCATGACCACCTTAAAGGATGTTTGGCCAGTCATGACTCTCTTCTATGATTACAATATGTTGTTCTTTGACTGAGAGGATCCATGACATATTTGTTATTTTCTTTTCTCAAATTTCAAAGCAAGTACACAAAGTTATAATAAGTAAAGACTTTATTTGATCATCATATAACATTCATTTTGTAAGTTTGCATCATAAGTACCATCATCATCATCATCTTTCCATTATATTATGCAACATTAAATTGAAAGTTTCAACTTCCCCTAAGTAATCAATTTCCAGTAGAGTGCAAGTGTTATATCATTGAATATGGAGGTGTTTAACCCTTGACACCCTAACATCAGTATCCATATTCTCCATACTATTCTTTGTATGTTTCTTGTGGTACTGAAAAAGAGAATTCATTTGAAGATCAATGCTTCTTAGGTTGGTGATCATTTCCTTTATTCTCATGAGCTTAGTGAATGATTCAGCAGTATTACTCCAAGCTTTTCAGGGATGGGTCAAGTCAGGCAGGTGCAAAAGTGGCAGCTGGCACTAAAGGAAAAATCTGCAGCTTTTAAATCTCCAGATCTTGGCAGCTCTGCTTATGCACTAATTAACTACAACCACAGGTAATTATTAACTACAACCACAGACTTTGACACAATTTTTTTTTTTTTTTTTTCTTTGCAGCCATAGCTGATGTTTATAGAAATGAGGGTAATGAGGCCTTCAAGAAAGGAGATTTCATCAATGCTATTCATTTTACACCAAAGGAATTAAAATGAACTGCAATGAGAAAGAACTGAAGGCCAAACTGCACAACAACAGGGCTATTGCACATTCTAAACTTGGTAAGATGATGAGAGCTTTATTATGCATTTTTTTTTTTTTGAAGCTATTGAGTTGTCAGTAGTAGTTTTCTGAAAAAGGTGATAATTTTGAATGCATGCCCGGGAAAATTTAGATCTTATCTTGGCCTCTCAAATATACAAAGAAGTAACCTCTTACCCCAGATATCAATGAGCATCACAAGTTTTTCCCAAAATTATAGTAATGGTAGTTGGTTTGCAACATGTATGGCTAATCAGAGATATTTATTTCAATAACAGGAAATCACCAGGATTCACTAAGGGATGCAGAAGCAGCCATTGAGTTAAATCCAACTTTCCTTAAGGCAATTGTGAGAGGTTAGATATGTTAGCTGTGCTATAATAATAATAACAAAAGAACTCAACACTCTAAGGTGAAATGAGGTTAAATGGAGTTCAATCTTGTCTCAATTGACTTTAATTAAGATGTCGAGACCACCCTGATGTACATTTGAATCCAGCTCTTGACTGCTATGCCATTACTTCCATTAATCATGATGAGAATATTATTTTGAACGGGGTGAGTCCAGGGTTTTCAAAATGAAAAAAAGTATCAGGAGGAAATTTTAAAATAGCCGGAGCACCACTGCGCCGCGACAGCGGCGCCGGGCGGCAAAGCCGCCCGTGGGGAGGGTGCGGGAGGGGGTTTCCCCCTCCTGCAGGGGGGGTATGGGGGGCCTCCCCCAGAAAATTTTGAAAATCTGCATGCTCTGAGGTGCATTCTGGTGCATTTTCAGGACCAAAAAGTTATTTTTTAGGTCGTTGTACACTTTATTATAACCTAGAGTTTTTCTTAAATCTGACTCATTATCAAGAGTTTCTTGAAAATTATGTTTACTCATACATATTACAATGCTTTCCTTCCAGTCCCATGTTACATATTACAATTTACATCTAAATAAAATTGACCTCTTTCCTTTGTCAGTACTTCATTGACCTGTTATAACATGAATCAACTTTTTGAAATAATTATTTTTGCAGTCAGAGTTTTCCTACAGATTGAAAAATACAGATGAACAGTTTCGTTATGGCATCCAAGCACTCAGGCTCGATTCTTTTTAGTTAAAAGTCACTGTCACTGAAATCACTTTCCCCCATTGCACTGTCCCTGTCACTGTCGTCACAACTTGGATCATCTTGAAAATTTGCTAAGCCAAGTTTAATGAGGGCCTGCTCTTCCTCTTGCAACGCTTGTTGTTCTTCTTGACTCTGACGATCTTCAACTTGTGGGTCCGTCTGTGTTGATACACTTGTTAATTCTGGTGGTGCAGGTTCTTTTGCCCTTGCTTTCTCTTGAGGCTGACTTCCCTTTGGCCAAATTGTAGCGTTTTCCAGAGAGCCATTTCTCAGTGGTCTTCTTCACCAGGGTGTCACATTCTGAAGAATTTGCCTCTGGACCATTCATAGAGATATTAACAAGGGCCTCCAGCATCTCATTGGTCAGCCTGCTCCTGAGCCTTGACTTTATATAAGCTTAACTCGACTGACTCCCCTTTCAGGCCATGCGTTGCTTATGGGCATCGTGAGAGCTATTTCTACAATGTGCATGAGGAGAGGGAGAAGAGAAAGGAAAGAAGATCTTTGTTTCATTAGCTGGGACATGCACCACTCTGCTGGCATGGTAGTCTTGCCTTCTTTTACATCAGCTGGAATGGCCATCTCCTTCATGTGGTACTTTAATATATTCCACTCTGCCAAAAGTCGGTCTTGTTGGTCGGGGGAAGTAGTGCTTGGCAAGAACTTGGATAGAATCTACTCCGTAAGAGGGAAGTTCTGAAGAGCTTGCAGGAATAAGAGTTGGATCAAAGATGGAGAGCGCTCCCAGAAGAGGGAGGGTGTTCTAAAACCTCAGGTCGATGTTTTCCTTCAAAGCAGAGACATACTTGAGCAACAAATTTCGCATGGATGCAAGCTGATGCTCAGAAGGGGAAAACTGCAGCAGCACCATCTTTCCTTCCTTGATATCTTGGCAAAATTGCTTGATGGGGACTTCTTTGGTTGCCACTTCATCCAGCGCTGCCTTAGCACGAACAATTTCTGGTTTAAGGTGACTGAAATTGACAGTAGAATGCTGAAACGATTTTGACAGGTTGTCAAGAACAGGAAGCACATGCTTTAAAACATACAAACAAGCCAGGAAGCGGACGTTGTTCATTTGAACTAACAGGCCCTGGCATGTGGGGTCCTCATCTTTCATCCTGATAAGGAACTGGATGATGGCAGAGAAGCTCTCCCAAGCGGATTGAACGGCAGCGTTAAATGACAGCCATCGTGTCTGACAGGCCTTCTTCAGCTTCTTAGCTATCTTCTTCTGCGAATTCTTGTTTGAGAGAGTTATTTCACTCACCTCAAGTTGAACTTTCAGGAAAATGGCTGTCTTCTTGTTCGAGTTGTCAAGGAGTTGCCAAAGGGTGTTTAGTGTGTTCTGCATCTTCTTTATTGTGGCAAGATCGTTTAAAGTGTCGGTACACGCCAGCGCTAGTTTGTGACAAACACAGTGGACAGATATTAACGACTGGATTCTTTCATCTGCTTTCAGCCTGGTAGCTACACCTGACCTTTCTCCCACCATGACACTTGCTCCATCTGACACAAAGCTTTTAAACCAGTCAAAATTGAGACTGTGTTTCTCAATGACTTCCAGAAGGATGCTTGTGATGGTTAAAGAATCTGCTGCGTCAGAGCTGGCGAGAACATTTTCCAAACACAAAAATTTCACCTCAACCTTTTCGCTACCCCTGTTATAATACTGGATGAAACCAATCATTTGCTCCAAATTTGCAATGTCAGTCATGTCATCAACCATCACCCCAAATGGCCCAGTTACAGCAGAAATGACTTCATTTTGAATCATTTCACCAAGAAGAAGCAACATGTTGCGAAAGGAACCTACTGATGTGATTAAAGCCACTCATATCACACCCCAGCTTCGCAAACCAACTTTAACAGACTCTTAACCTTGACATTTGCTATATCCTCCTTTGCCAACCAGTAAAGGCAATAGAAAACTCTTTCATACACATCAACCTGAACTTCAGCATTATGATCGAGCTCTTTCTGGAAAAAACTGAGAACCTGTTCATAAGAATGGCAGTGATTGCATCTTTGTGTCTCTTTGTTGCAATGTGCTCCTCGAGGCAATCTTTCTTTAACCTTGTGCTTGGTTCTGCAGAAAAAATTCCTTTTTGTTTTGGGGATTCTTGAATCAAACTTCTTGCAGATCAGACAGTATTGACCTTCTCCTTCGATGTAAACGAGCCACCACATCTGTACTTTTTAGGGCTATAGGCCAAATCCTTTATTAAAGATAAGGCTGTGATTAAACATCTGCTTCTTTTTGGTTGTTTTGATGCGTGCTCTTTCTTCTTGAGACACACCCAAGCAGTCACGCTTTTTGCAGAGAATGTAGTGATGAATTTTCTTCGTCTGCTGTTCTTCAGTGAAACTGTTCGTGATATCACACTCTCTGACTGTATACACACAGTATCTGTGGGAGGAAAATACATGTAAGATTCTTTACCTTTTTTCTTCAGTGTGTGATGCAAACCACCAACTAGAGAAGGCTACTCTCAAAAAAAGAAAGAAATATCACGAATTGTAATAAAAGTTCGTTTACCTTCAGCGTGGTTGGTAGGGGCTGCGGTCACAGAGATTTCTTTGGCAGTCGCGTAACACATTGACGGGCAAACTTTCGGCATCTTCGAAGTTTAAGGACGTACTAGGCGTTGCAGAAGACCCTTCCGTGTCTGGTGCATCTAACGAAAGCAGTGAGAATATGTATCGATGTTGACAATGTGTACCATTTATCCCCCATGACCAACGCGTTAAATAAACCAAGCATAGTTATTTCGCGCTCACGTATATGACCTCACGTATACAAAATTTGAGTTAAAGGCGGAGATTAAATTTTATTTTTAGCGCGACATACAAGCTCCATAAATAATGCATTGTTAGCCAAAATTTCAATCGATTAGATAAATCAATTTTTATTCCGCGGGCACAACTGTTTTAACTGTTTTTTTTAGTTATCAGAAGAACAATGCTTTGCTAAACAATCAATTTCAGTAAAACTCATATATGTTAAGCGGGCCGTAACATGTGGCGCGACTTATGTCGCGACTAGTCTGGCTGTGTCGGCTTCGTATAAAATTAATTTTCCATAAAGAACTGTAAAACATTCAGTTTCACCCTTTACTGATTATGAAGACTTGAAATGAAACTTTAAGTCTCACAAAAATCTTAAAAATGCCTGGCTTATATAAAAAAGTTAAATGTGACCAAATTTGTGTCGGCATAAAATTTATTTAATCGCCAGAGTCTGCCAGTTCATTCTCGAAACGGCGCCTCACGAAACCAAGCGTTGAATAAATAAAGCATCCCTTATAAATCGCCTTGTTGACAATAAATAATTCAACCTAAGCGATACAATATTGTTTTCAAACAATGTTTCATTCATAACATGCACCAATACTTATTTTCTGATGGACTGGGGATTGTAAACAGGAACCCGGCGAACATTTGCATTTTAAAAAGTGTTTCATACCTGCAATCTCCTTTCTTTTGCTGTTTGAACCCAAACTGGGTTAAAAGCGGCTGTGATTTCTGCCTTTTCATCCGGTGACTGGGACCGTTTTTAAAGAAAGCGCCAAGTACAAAGCTCACGAATTCACAAACAGATTCAAACACGCGATGTGGAGAAGAAGACGATTTCATAATTCGCTTACGCAAGAAAAAAAACTAGTCACGAAATAGCAGGATCAAATGTCGGTCTTTCGTTGGGAAAACGCAAATGGTTTCCAGTCCAAGTTGAATGCTGTTGAATAAAAGAGTTACGATTTCTGATGCTGGAACGCGATCAGTGGGCAAGAACAAAAAATGTTATCCTTAACTTTAACCCATAGGAATCGGAACTTTATGTTTTTAATTTTTTTTAATTTTGACTTCCAGCACCCGGCGCTAACGCTCGAAGTAGCCGGTGACTTGCGTCGGGCGCCGGTTACTTTTGAAAACACTGGGTGAGGAACTCAATGCGGAATGCAAAGCAAAATTTCAGCATGAATATTTTAGTTCCTTAAGTCCAATGAGTCACAGGTGTCAGATATATGTTAAGAGCGTGTCCACGAGAGCACCGGGCGGTCGTGCTACATGCCATCTCACCGATTTCAATGAAACATCGCCAGTTTAAAGGGGTTCCCCAAAACTCAAAACGACAAACTGGTTTCTGTTTTGTTTTTTTTTCCGGGGAGATAGACCACCCCCGGTTTTTCTTAGTTTTCACCAAGGAAATCGCTTCAAATAGGTAAAATGTATGAAGCTCTCCCTGTGATGGTATTTAACTGATTACTTTGAGAATTTGCACACATATTTTTACATCCTTAGTTAATGTCTGCTGCGAGTATCAGTCAGTTTGATTGACGGCTTGTCAATCAACAGAGGCAAATATACGACTGTGTTTTTTGAACTTTTCGATTCATCTAAATACAACTTTGAGGTCAAATATCTCCCCTTGCCAGAAAGCTACAACACTAATCTTAATTGCCCTTTATAACCCATCATTTTATCTCTGAAAATCATCAAAAATCTTTGGGCAGTACCGTATTTTTGTCTTGGATGCCTTTTAAAATCTGCGACTGTGACAAGTTTTCTCTCAACTACACCTGTCACGCAATTCTTGCTCTAGGCGGTCACTTGACAAAATAAACCTACATTTTTTAGCTCTTTATACAAGATGAGTGATCAAGAAAGGTGAAAATTGTGAAAAACTTTCGAGAAAAACTTTCGAGATACATGTAGACGAAAAATCAATGGGAAAATTGTAGCGTTTCTTTCTTCGGTCGTTTATTACTTTAAGATTTGCTAAAATCAGCAGATATGGCTTTTGTACGGCACAAAACATTCATTAGTCTATAATTTGATTGTTTATCATCATCAGTGCTCATTTTAGGAGATTTTAAAGTCACATGCTGCGTGTTGGCTTATATTACTACATGTTCCAGTGTGCTAACAAACTGGCTTTCACAGACGAGAAATTCTGCGCTCTCGCTCGAGAGCAAATATAAATTGTTCTATCGGACTAAAAAACTGTGCTTCTATCCCGAAAATAAAATTAAAATAGTGTTGACGTTGTCACTTACCGCCATCGGACATTTACATACAGAACTCCGCTATGCTAACATCTGTTATGTGACCCAAAGACTTTCCGTAGGAATTATTCAAACGCCTTGTTCATGCTATCTGCTAGATAACAGCTTCAGAATAATCTGCAGATCTCTATGATTATTAACCTGCTTCGATCGTAAAATATCTGCATAGTTTTTTAAGCATTCTATTACTACATATAAATCTACATCTCTCTAGATCGAGTGTTGCCGGCGTTTAATTGCGTGACTTGTAAAATTTTTAAATAAGAATGAGCCAGCAGTAATTTGACAAGTAGCCTTCCTGCAAATTTGCCTTGATGAAATCCCAAGACATAGCCAGTTGTTTTCGTGAGCAAAGACAATAAATATGAAAGAAAAAGTGAGATGCGAATGTCCTTTTTTTTAGCTTAATAGCAGCTGTACCCTCTCCTGCAGTCTTCGTCTAAATTTTGCAAGGTCCTCCTTATCTTCTGCCTTGTTGGGTCAGTTTCTGAATTCTGAAGCTAGATCATTGGCATCGGCCTCTCCGTCCTCATTCATATTTACAGAGGGGGACCTCATCAATAAACCAATTTTGTTACGGCAGATAACCGGCTGAAGTATCGAGCGATTTGTTGCTGTATCAACCGGTCAGTCTTTAGACAGCATTTCTGGCCGGTGTCGTCTTTTTAACTCTCTCGATATTTGGAAATCACATCAGAGGCGGTTGCCTTACTAGTTTTCCTCCCTTGCCCAGCACACTTCTAGGAGAGATAATTCCTGCTTTCTGAGAAAAGGTGGCTGTTTTCGTGTTTCCCAAAGAGCCCATCCAAAGTCCACTTGGCTAGTTAGGGATTGTTCGTCAAATTTTTACCTGAGGTCCGACCTCGAACGTAGCTGTCCCCATAGAATGGCAAGCCGGTCTTAGTCCATTTCCTCTTGATCATATCCTAGGCGGAATTTTTTTGTCGGCTTCACTGTGTTTGTCTTTATCAGGGTACATTTGGATGGCAGCCAATGACTGAAACGTCTTGATACGTCCTTCTTTTTAGCAAGAATATCTCCTTTCTTGTTCCGTCTATGACGGATTGGGTATAGTTCTCGCGATGACCCGCGTTCAGAAATTTGTGCACGTTGCTGATAACCACCCGCTTCTACGACTAGTTTTGCTGAAGGTTTCTAATGATGAGCCTAGTGAGACCCTGAGGTGCTTCAAACTGTGCCAGTTGGTCCGCACTATAAACTTGTCGCAGTTCTTTAAGTCAGAGGGAGGATCGCCCACCTCTATCTATGTGAGCGCCTCTACAGTACATGCGTATCCCTAGCAATCATATGACGAAAGTTCATCTCAGTCACAAATCACCAGTTAGGAAAACTGATATTCAGATAAGCGCTCTTCTTGCCCTTCTTCCTTATTCGTTGTCGACTCTAAGATACAGTACGCGTTCTATTTAGGTTTACAGTCACCTTGCCGCCACCAGAAAGACTCGCCACCAGCTTTGATTTCTTCTGCCATCTGCAGATTCATCTCTCTCACTTATGTCTCCGATTTTTATGGGGAGGATACTGGCATTTACGAACCCGAAGGTCTGAATCACACCAAGTTGTGCACGAAATTTGAGGTACATCGTGAAATCGCGGCCTTCGTAATCTCCAAATAAGCCAATACGCGCTAGAATAAGCTCCATCTCGGACGAAACGCATGTTTGGGATACATCGACGTCTCAAATGTTTTTTTTTAAGCTGTATACCCACGAATTTAGAGGTATGAGCTGTTGCCGACCCTGGCCAGCGCAAGAAAAGTAACATTTGCTTCACAGTTAGTTGCAAATGAACAAGACAACTGCACCATCTTGACTTTATCAATTCGAGTGAGATTGAATTGAGGGCTTTTAGACACCCGATTTCTTATATGGTATCACTATGAAGACGTAATACAACTGATACACCTACACTACATAGGATTAACAATGTCTGTTGCGCTGTTGCGAGAAGGAGGAAAATATTACCGGAAGTGTACGCTCTTTTAAAAAGAGTTTCAGAGACGTTTCAGAGATGTCTATCTTTGATCGGCTGTTACAAAAAAAATGACCCCCACTTAAATTTACGAGGAAAATGAAGTTACCAACCCCTTGTTGAAAAAATTGGAATTCATTTGACCGATACGCCGGTTGTTTCAATTTTTCTTTCTCCTCGGGCTGCTATGAAACAGTTCATAAATTGACTAATGAATAAAGTGTTTTTGAAATACCGTTCGATTTGCCTTTTTTTTTCTGCGTCGACGTGACTTTTACATTAAGTAGTGAGCATCACTGCAACGAACTGAGAAAGTAAAACTTGTATTTATCTCCCACGCGTTTCGTCTGACAATAGTAGACTTTTCAAAGATTTTAAAGTAGAGTAAATAAGCTTGTATACAAATAGTAAATAAGTTGTCTCTTTACTATTGAAGTCAGGTGGATAGAATACGCCAGGTGCGCCTACGGTGTTATACATGATTGACATTTTTCGGACGTTACACGTACGAGTACGTGATCCGTTTGAGGGTCACAAATTTAGTGTAAATATTTAACCCTTAA